CGAGTGGGGGCCGCGTTAATTTTCCCCCCCTGCGGTCGCAATGTAGATTTCTGCTAAAAATTAAAGAAATCCGCATTCCTAAAAACAAGAATGATTTGGGCACTATGCAGGGGTGGATCGGGCACTATTTCGAACACTATTTTGAGCACTAGGTTGGCTTTACGAGCGAACTGTTGAGGCAAATCCTCCTCTTTGACCGCTACTGTAGATGTAAGACATACCCACTCGTACTGACGAGGTATACTCAGTATACTCTCCCTGCGGGCCGAAGAAGAAGCCGTTGACTGTACGTGAGGCTGTTTACTATCCAGGGGAAAGGGATTGCTTTGAGGGCATTTACGGGAAACAAGGTGTTAAACAAGCAAAATTCATTTTAGGTTGCAAGAAGATGCCTCGCCCTGGAGTGTCTCGAAGTTGCTGGCATATGGATGTAAGATAGGGGCCTATCTAAATTGAACAGGGCTTCGGCGTGCATTATGGTATACTCATATAACGGCTGTAATGGAATGATTCGGAATGATATTGGGCTTCTATGTTGGAGGCTTTTGCTGACCCGGGGGGTAGACAGATTTCTGGCTTCTACAAAGGCCATTTCGAACCTTCCCGTCTATATTGAATTTTCCTGTTGATTTGTCTTTGAAGTTTAAACCCAAGATCCCCTGGCTCCTAAGCCTCTAGCCCTGTTTTGAGGCATGGACTAGGTAAGTTGCCGGCACAACTGAAACATCAACCATCCACCACGTTCTGCTGACATGATGGCTGGAGCCTAGACAAACCCTAAGCCCAAATTTAGTTCTAGTTATTTAAGAACAACTCCCAAAGAAGCAAGGGCTCGCGGTGCTTGAAGGCCATCCTTGTTGCCAGTACCTTGTGGCTTTTTTAGTTTGAGGTCTAGGATTTTGGGTGTAACCCCAGTAACGCAGAATCAAATGCAACAGAAGATGGATAATGACATGAAACTGGGGTTATATAGTAGTATCAGGATTAGGGCTTCGGAGGATGAAGCTTTTCGGCTGAGTTTCGTTTTATTTCTTTCTGCAGAAGGCGAGATCAAGGTTTAGGGTTTCATGTAAGACTAAGGGTTCCAACGGGTTTAATAGGCTAAGCAAAGGCTTAAGGTTTAGGCTTCAGCTAGTTACGGCCGCTTGTGGTTTTGGCGCAAGTTTAAAGTTTAGACCAGGGCCTGGAGCTCGGGTTGGATCTGAGTAGGGCGATATTATAGCAAATCGGGCCGAATAATTTGTATATGGCTTCGGTGTATGTGATATTGTAGTGGTGTCAGGATCATAGGATCCTCTAAACATAGAATACTACGCCCATAGGGTTGAAGGATAGGGATCCTTTAGGGTACTATGATTCAAGCTTCAACATTACGTGCATGACCTAGGGATGCAAGCAACGCATGCCACCCAAGACCAAGGAAGCCGGACATTTAAGATGGCAAGACGAAGTCGGGCTCCTTTATTGGAATAAGCATTACGGGTTTATTGGAATCTAATTTTCAATACTATTCCGTCTGGGTTTAGGCTTCTGGGTTGAGGGTTCAGCTTACCATAGTCTTGAACATTAGACCCTTCTATTCCTTTCTATGCTTAGGGTTATGGGTTGAGGGGGAAGGATCATATTGAAAGTTAGAATCCCATGGTCCTTCCTGAGTCGAAGGTTACGTACAGGCTTAGGGTCTCATTGGGATATTGGGATTCTCATGCTACAATGTTGGGCTGTCCCCGAATTCGGGCTACCATCTTGGAGTAGTTAAAGGTTCAAGTACCCGGGGGACCTAGTAGGGGATCATCACCCGCACAAGCTTGAGCTTAGCTTAGGTGTTTCCGAAGCTGTGTAAGGATCGAGCGATAGCAGACAAAGGTGCCTGGCCTCTCCGCGTGATGCAGGTAGTCACGTGCATCCAGTATGAGCAATCCGTGTATACCACTTTGCATGGTAGCGGAGCCCCTTGAGTAGCAGGGGGCTGAAGATCGAGGGAGAGACAAAGACCCTGTCATTGACAGGGATCGCGAGTCACGGGCTGTGAGCCACTTGGGACGGAAAGCCAAGCACGTTCAGCGAGTTCGCGGAGCTAGTCCGAATGTATTATGAGCAGTCCTCTGCTGTGCACAATAGGGCCCAAACCGGGCCACGCATAGCCGCAGAGCTAACTGGAACCGCTATGAGCGACAAGTTAAAGGACTGGCTATCATTTCACGAAGGTGTGGACCGACTTCTAGAAGATCTTCGACAGGGCCTTGGCCAACCTCGAATAGTGAAAGTCACTGAGCACCTCAATCGCTTCTTCAAGCATTGCAAGCGCAAACCTGGAGAAACCATCAACGAATACCTGTCTCGTCGTCATGGGTATACCTGTGGGCCGGCAAGCCATGCAAAAGCCTTGCCCTACTACCGATGACTACCAAGAGATGGGCGCCAGATGGCGCCAAGGACCAGCGACCATGCCTCCTGCCTCTTGGTACTAAGGGAGTCAGCGGTCCTCCTTCGACTGGCAGGCAGAGCCAGTTGAAGAAGATCAGCCGGCTGATCAAGACGACTGGGTCCACAAGAGCCTTAACTTCCTGGAGGTGCTGGGCATTTGGATCAGCCATATGGTTGGACATCACATCCAGGGACACCTGGAATTGGCGAGAGGAATGGACTCCTCCCACGCCCGCGCCACTACCAGAATTCATTCTAGATTTCACACAAGGGCACGCCACCATTGCCGGGAGATTCAGTGTCAAGCAGACCCACTTCCCCTGCAACCACGGCCGGCGACAACATGGCTTTCGTGGAGAGCATGGAGGGCTTCATGTCTCGGAATGAGGCATCTTGTAGTAGACAACTGTATGGTAAAAATGTCGCATCAGTACTTCAAGACCTTGATGAGCCGACCCAGTGCGTCTTCTACGTCAACCAGCTCAGGGCCCCAGCCGAGAGACGATTAAGACATTGTGTGGATCAAGCGTGGGAAGGTCGGTCATCGAGTTGTTCAAAGAGACCGCGTCCTGCATCTGCCACGCCAAGGACCAGTCAGTCCAAGGATTTGTATAACTTCTAGTAGGCAATGTGGTGACTGTTGCTACGAGGGGACTGATCTAAACGAACTAGATCCAACAATAGATGAGGAAGATACACCCAACATGTGCAGGCGGCCAGCATCAACAAAAACAACAAAACAAAAATACTCGTATGTTCAGATTTGCAATATCTGGGATCCCTATGAATAAAATCTGATTTGTATGATTGAGATGATGGTCCAAAATACCTGAATAACTTTTTTCCAGGAATAGTCCAGATATTTTCCTCGAAACCCCTTTTGTTCAGGATCAAATGCAGGGGCCCCAAGAAGAGTGTTGGGGCATCATATTGTGCTTCAGCTCTACGAGAACTCTGAGCACATAACCTTCTGTGCGGGCTTCCATAGATTGGGTGGCCTGAATGCAGATCCCCGGAAAGACCATCCCTGTAGGGAACCCCAGACATGGACCACTGATTTTCTTGAACCCCCATGTACTCATTCAGGCTCAGGCTCCTACATTCAAGATGCCACCAAGGAACATGTAGATGACCTTTGGGATGGACGTGCTGTTCGCTGACGCCCTGGCAGCATGCTGTATCCTGAGCTGTGGGAGTTTACTCGATACTGAGGCAGGATGAAAAACACTCACCCATCAAACCAAAATCTGCACCAATGGCAGGAATCCCCTCGGATTGAAATTTAGGGGGTTTGAGGTTTAGGGACTGAAGTTGAGTTCCAGGTACTTATGACGGGAACATACGTAAAAGCAGAAGCCAAATGTGTAAGAACCTAGCTAAGATAGGAGGAGGGGTTTCGCCGCCTCCCAACCAACCCAAACTGTTTGGTTTCTTATTGGAACTTAGCTGAAACCACAGCTGCTTTCAGATAAGAATTTCCCCTCCATCCACTTGCTTGAAGCTACGGATGGCGTTGGCGGGTACTTTGCAAGATTGCAACTGGGGCTTGCATTGACTGGTTCGGGTACAGTAAGAATCCAAAGCCTAGATTTGGATTCCACAATCGCTAGTCCTCAGCATGCGCTCACATAATCCCCCCTGACAATACCATAACCCCGCCTCACCCTGCTCGCCCCTAACCATTATCACTTCAAATGATTACACACACACATATATATATATATTACATATTAGATTCTATGTGTGTGTGTGTGTCTAAGCAAAACCCTCTCCCAAAGAGCCCAAGATACCTAAATTCAGGAAATGCGCCTTCAATGGCACAAGGATGCGCAAGGTGATTTCAGGAATGGGGGTTTCCTGAAATTAGGGATAATATTCTGAAGGTTTCTATAGTTTGTTTGATCTCCGCCGACCCCGGGGCGGCGTCAGTGGATTTTATTGTTTTCCGGCTCCCCTAGCCTACGGGCTAGAGATCAATATAAGGGTTCCAATGCATGCCCAAACCCCCGCCTCTGCCCTCGCCCCCCTCGTTCCCCTCGTTCCCCTCGCCCCCCT